TTTTCGTAGAAGTATTTCAAATAACAAGTAGATTAGTTTTCGCGAAAAAAAAAGTTTGGGGTTAGGTGCACTTTAACGTTGTACGTGTCGTGCAGAATGGTAACAAGCTCCTCGATAGAAGAACCCACAACTAAAGGATCAAGACGAAAAAGATCATTGGTTCCCAGCTGTAAAATGGCTATGTCTGGAGCGAATGAAGCGACCACGGGGAGGTCGTATTGCAACGTCTTAGCCACAGTTCTCCCCCCAACACCACGCCATTTAAATGTGGCAACATCATTTAACAAGAATTGGTGGTTAAGGTTAGGGTTTGCGGCAACGAAGTTGTCTAAACGTCTAATGAATGAATGCCCCAGAATAAAAATTAGAGGGAGACCCATTCTAATGTAATACAAAATATCTCTTCAACTTGCCTGAAAAAATGTTATCCCCAAGAGATATATTCGCAGTGATGGTGAAAGCAAGAGAGAATGATTGAGAATGCGACCAGTCTTTTATACTGGTAGATAGATAACACCATGACTCTTTAACATGATTGGCTGTTATGTCACATGACAGACCACCATCGGATCGACAGGTATGTGCCTTGAATACAATAGGTCAATTTATCGACATAAATAACATCATGCCTGGGGGTACGTCAACAGGTTTGACTGAGCTTTTGTCAAAGCTGCAAACAATAAAAATGCCCACAAAAGGAAGTTAATCCAGTGACATTGTCTACCAAAAATTAAACACAAAGTTTGATAGGAGTTGTGAGGAGTGTGAAGCATCTCCATCCATTACTGGCGAGCAGCGACAGCCAATTAGTTTCGGAAGCAAATTTGTTTCCGTGATTCCGCGATTTATCTTTCCATCTTCTGCGTGGAGACGAGAGTAAACGCGGAAAGATCAGCTCAGGACAGAATTGCTTGGAAGAACATTGTGGAGGCCTCGTGAGCCACACAGGCATTAAGAGGATATTAGATTTCTGTCATACTTGTTTACCGGTCCCGCGAAAAAAAAATCCAAGCAAATATTCATATTGACGCAAGTGCCTTCTTAAGATATAAAGGCCAACTATTAAGCATGTGTTTTGCTTTAATTCTCAGTATTTTGTTAAGGAACGAGAAACCCAGTAAATAGACAATTGTGTTGGATAAATCTGGCCACCCTTGTGGCATGTTTAATGAAATCAATGAAATGTGTAATAGGTGTTACTAAAATTCACAACATAGCGCTAATACTACTGAAACAGATTCTGCTATTGAATAAAATTGGGGCGACAAAAATGCGCCAATATGATAATAAAACAACTGAATAAGAAACAGTAATCCGTTGGTCGGTAAAAAGGGGAAAGAGGCGGGGAAGAAAGAAATATAGCTTAAAAACCGTGCTTAAATCGGAACCTGAAACCGCCTTCTAACCTCATTGGTTATATTTAATGATACCCACTATACCTGGTACTATGCAACCCCAGCAGATTATCAAGCGGGCAGCATGCCTCGACATAAAGGACATTATATTTGTCTTTGTTATATGGCTCTGTCTCACAAGGACTGGGAACTACCGAGTTCGCGAATTTGATTGGCTGAAATCGATGTGGAAAGCGGTCTAGATTTTCCCATCTAAAGTTGCGAACTACAATAGCAAGTCATTGACTGTTTTCATCTAACAATACATATTTATGGAAGTGCCAAAAAGCCTGATGAAAAAAAAAAGTAAAGAGGACGAGCAAACTTTAGCAGAATTAAATTCAGCTCATCGCTGTTCGCAAGCAAAATGACAGTTAGTACAAACCAGTTACATTAAAACGAATTAAATTATTCTTATTTGTGCCATATAATAAAAATCTTATTAGCCGAGCTCAGTCGGTCTGGATGGGAGAATCTTGACCTCGGTCGTGTGTACAGACCTCACTAGCACTGCGTTCGGTCTGTACTCACGACCTCGGTCAAGATTCTCCCATACAGACCTCCTGCTCGATTAATAAGAGCTTAATAATGTCTGCTCTTATATCGACGCGAGTGCCCTTTTAAGATATAAAGTATATTTTAAAAATACCGTGGTAATTGTAGTCAGGCAAGATAAAAATACTAAAATGTTTGTTGTCAATGACTAAAAAAGGGTT